TGGAAGTCTCTCGAAGTTTATCTTGAAGGCTTGGTGTTTGATTTATCACTGCTCTTTCTCATTCAAGTATTGGTTCAGAAAAGGAATTTTTGGAGGCCTTGAAATGTTAGCTTTGAGATTTATGCATCTTCATACTACCCTGTTCATATAAAACACATGCTGAGGGGGGGTTGTTTTAGCCATTGAATGGCTTAGTTTGCTTGTTTTAGCTCCTACCCGAGAGCCTGTTGTGGTGTTTATTCCTGTCCCTGTTCCATAGCTATGGGAAGGTTCATTTTTATTTGCTTTAACCTCTATTTGGGAGCTCGTTTTTTTTGTCTGGTTCTGCTCCTACCCAAGAGGTAGCTTGGGAGCTTGATTTGGTTTGTTCTTTGTCCTACCCGTGAGCTTGCTGGTAGGGCATTTGGCTTGGCTTTGGCTCCTGGTGGGCTTGGTTTTGGCTTGTGCTAGACTCGATTTCAGCGATTTGCTGGTTGCGGTTTTGGCCTTAGTTGAGGGGCTCAATTTGGCTTTTTTAAGCCCTTGGACTTGGCTTGTTGGGTGGTTGTCCTGTACTTCTCCTATTCCTACCCGTGAACCTATTGAGGGGTTGCCTGGGACGGTATGGCTCTTCTTCTTGAGTCTGAGTGGCTTGAATTTGATCGTTGAATCAAGTTTGTCATCCCAAAAATTATAATCACTTTAGTTATCCTCTTATGTATGTCAAGGGAGCATAGCAGCCACTGGTAGTTCTTTTTGGTTGCCTTAGCTGTGAGCCTTACTTGTTCTTTGGGTTGTCTTTGGTCGTGGGCCTTAGCAGCTTGTCCCTTCTGCCCATAACCGTGAGCCTTAGTAGTTACCTCTCTTGTGGGTTGCCTTGGCCGAGAGCCTTAGCAACTGTTCATCTCTTTGTATTGACCCCGGCCGTGAGCATTTATTTGATTATATGAGAAGATTTTATGCTTATTTGATATATGAGGCTATTGATTAATTTGAAAGTTGGAAGATCCTGATTTTTGTATGGGTTTGGAAATACTAGTGGTGGTTTCCCCGGGGTCACTTTCCTTTTGCTCAATTTATGAAGTTTGAGAGATTTTCGAGTTTTATATTAGGAGAATGTTTGGCTGTGACAAATTGATTTCATAAAAGATATCTTTGGGGTTTGGATACCGGCGTTAGGAGGTCATTTTGACTTGGGTTGATCCACTTATGAAAATGTGAGAAAATGATACCCTTTCGGGTGGATTCAAGGATCTTCGGGCTTTCCTTTTCAGGTCTTTTCGTCACGAGTTTTGAGAGCTGATTCATCCTTCGTTCTTTTCGATGTTTTAGGCGAATCAGTCCGTCCTCTCTCTCACCCCATTTTTGTTCCTTTTTTCCTTGCTTCTTGGTTTGGTTTTTTTGATGCTTATGTCCGATACATAAGTGTCCACGTATAGCCTTTTGATATACGTGAAACCATCAAGCAAGGTCGCAAGTAGGTCGGTTTTGTTTTGGGACTTAGGACGGTGATGACAAAGGCACACCAGGGATAAAACATAATGATATGTCATCCTACGACATCAGGATCCGATTCAGGAACCCATCAGTGGCCTGGAGGATGACTGTATCATCCCCCGACACAAGACTAGCGGAAGTTGACCCGAACCTTCTTAGGTTATTGGTAGCCTTATGCCCGACAACGCGATCGACTCATGGACAACTACTTTTTAAAATTGATAAAAAAAAATTGATAAGAACAGATACACCTTTTTCTAAAACAAAAATACACTTTTATCTACAAACAAAATTGATACAACCACTTTTTGCATGTTTGAAATTTATGCGCATGCTGAAAACATAAATTTTAAATACATTTTAAACATTGGTTGTCCACCTGTTGATCACCTGTTTATGCTATTTGATAGGACACTCTTCTAGTTGAGTGACGGGTTTTATACATACGGGTGACCGAGTAGCCTTCGACGACCCTCGAGTACTAATATATAGTTGAACCTAACCCCGACCCGAGTGCTTGCGGTCCCCTCTTTTCGGACTTTTTCATATGTATTATCGAATTTTTTGGACAAAACACTCGTGGTCTCTTTTCGGGATTTTTTCATGTTTTCTACGATTTTAATTGATTTGTCAATTTCCTCGCATTTCTCTTGTCGTGAGTCTTTTGACGATCTTTCTCGAGATTTTTGGACAATGTTTCTTTGTTTTTCGCTTATATAAAGCATTTCAGCCTGCATCCTCAAATTTTGTTGCTTGTACCTGTTGCATCAATTACACCTAAGGAACAGCGGATCTCACAGGTATACAAGTTTGTTTTATGTTTACAGCATGTTATTCTCTTATAATCACTTCCCTGTTGTACCTTTTACTTTTCTTTACACCGCATGTTTTACTGTCTTTTTTACTGCATACTCTACTACTTGTCCTATGCTACATATTCTACTGTCATGTTATACACTGTAAACTATATACTGTGCAACTTCAACATGTTCCCTATAAAATATTTGAAGAACTACAACCATAGTGCCGCTGGATTTGATATTATAACCTGACACTCTAGAAAACTTAAACTCGTCACGACAAGGAGTTTGGAACTAGCGTGGTGGGCACGACCATCTTCAACAACAGAACATGTCTTCCCCAACTAAACAATTCATTTCCTGGAAATTAAAATAACAATCCATAGGATTTCGAAGTTGTTCGCCTAGCGCAACATAAATCCTCAACCTTTTCTCTAGGCATTCGTATAGCTCTGCTGTACGATCTAAACCCTAACTCATTTTAGGATTCCGAGGTTGTTGTCCGTCATGGCCTAAATCCTCACATCTTCCAGGCTGTTTGTGTGATTATTTCACACGAATGTAAGCCCTAATTAAATAAAAAATGACAGGATAAAATACTTGAATATTTCTCCTTGAAACTGAAGCCAAACCATAGGGTGTACTGGGAAGTCACCGAGTTTTTGGATCTGTGACATCCTCTAGTTCTTCCTTTAGATTCTGTAATAAATGTTCCAAATTTGAGTCATTCCCTTTTCACACTTCTTTGTCCGATTTCGTTGAAAAGCGATTTCGTTGAAAAGTCTTTGAAACTCCTTGAACATATTATTTCCTGATTTTTATCGAGAGTCTTCTTAGATGACTTTGGTCATTTAAGAAGTAATTAAGTATAGGTGTTTACCCTTATAGGAAGCATGTCCGAACCCAGCATATTATAAACCCTTTTTAATTATTTATATTAAATAGAGAAACTTGTCAGCAAATACAAAGGTTTTGCAGACCAAACGGATGTCATATATTCTTTAGTTTATTTGATCAAGCCTCATCCTCAAGTCTTGAGTTTATCTTTCGGGATAGATACATGGTTTGAGGTAAAACACTATTTCATTTAAACTATGAAAAATATGGGGTCAATTTGATTTTCATATTTGATTTTAAACTTAAATTT